CAGTTTTTGAGACAGCTCTAATATTGTATAGTTTAATTAACATGTAGCATTCTTGTATTGGAATATTTCATTTTCAATACGGCATAAGCTTGAATGAGAAAAAACGAGTTTGCAAGGGTAAATGAATATCTTCCTATATCGAACCCGGTCGTAGCTATCAAAACGGCTGATAGAACAACACAAACTTTTTCTGATGTTTTTTCCTTTTTATCCCTCCATTTATGGTTATTGTTGTCTATTACAATTATAACGTCCTATACATTATTGATGATAACATAGACAGGTTGAAACATTATTGGAACATTTGGATGCTTAAATATTTGTTACTTTATTCTTTCTATTTACTTAAAATGGACAGTCTTCGGCCATTATCATCTCTTAAAAACAAAAGACCTTATTTTTATATTGAGGGCAGGTGTATTTTTCTGTAGGGCTAGCAAATTTTGTCATGACACCTGCCCATGGGCTAGTGGTTCAAAAGTGAAATCGTGCACCCCTGCATTTTGTCTTGTCAGTTTTGGTCCGATTTTTACGAAATTCGAACTCAACGATCCTTAGGGTGTAACGGTGATATATTTAAATCGCATAAAAATTATGACCGCTATAGGGTCCACAAGCTAAAAACATGATTTTTCGTACAATCTGGGGCCATAATTCAGGAAGTTACAGTCCTATAGTATATGTGCGAATATTGAAAGAAACCAAGATCTTTGGGGTAAAAACTTACATTTCAAGTTTCATCAAAATCAGAGGAAAATTGTTACCCCACAACCTTGATATACAAGGCTCTACAATGCGACTGATATTTATAAATGCTAGGTTTCTGCGAGGACTCTGAGAGGAAATTCTAATTGCTCATGCGCTGTATTTATCGAAAGTTTACAAGACAGCTGACAGCATGGCTAGCAGACGAATCAAACCTATATCGTCTTACTTTACTAGTAAAGTAACTTCATCTCGCAGTGAGTCTCAGTCGGGGAAAAATGATGATAGTCATGCTTCTGACGCTACACCACCCAAACAAGCAAAATTACAAGCCTCGCCGTCTTCATCTCACAGTGAGTCACACTGATTTTTGTTGGCTACGGTATGACAAGGAAACCAATCTAATCTTCAGACTTGGCAACTGAAAATTTTGTTTGGCTAGTGGTTTTGAAAATTTACTTATGTTTGCACAAGTAAGTTCAAAATGCTGTGTAGAACCTTGATATACCATATTTTTACGCTATTTGAGAACGAGGGACGGCCATTTTTGTCTGTTAGTTTTGGGCCGATTTTCACGAAATTCGAACCATCCTTAGGGTGTAACGGTGATATACTAAAACGTTTTTTTTTTAAATCGGATAAAAATTATGATTTTTTGTACAATCAGGGGACATAATTCAGGAAGTTATGATCCGATATGCGCGAATACGAAAGGAACTGAGATCTTTGGGTTTTAAACTAACATTTCTAGTTTCAACAAAATCGGATAAAAATTGTGACCTCTATAGCGTCCACAAGCTAAAAAAATGATTTTTCGTACAATCAGGGGCCATAATCCATGAAGTTTCGGTCCGATACATGACAATATCGAAAGCAACCAAGATCTTTTGGAGATAAACCTAGATTTCAAGTTTCGTCAAAATTGGATAAGAATTGTGACCTATAGAGTGTCCACAAAATATTGTGGACGGATGGACGGACAGGGGCGACGACACTATATGTCCACATAAAAATGTGGGCCACATAAAAATGTGGGGGTATAAAAATTGTGACCTCTATAGGGTCCACAAGCTAAAAACCTGATTTTTGCTGACAATCAGGGGCCATAATCCATGAAGTTACGGTCCGATACATGCTAATATCAAAAGGAACAGAGATCTTAGCGAGATAAAACTATATATTAAGTTTCCTTGAAATCGGATAAGAATTGTGACGTGTAGAGTGTCCGGACTTACAGGGACGACAACAATATACGTCCACATGAAAATGTGGGCGTATAAAAACAACAAGATGACTAGTCATCACCATCCTGCGCCCTTGACCTTGTTTGGAAGGCATAAGGGAAAACAACTTCTTGGAATATCAATGGGACTAGTCAGAAGATTGATACTCTGATCATAGTAGCACGGCAAGGCACAGTTGCTACTCCCTGTAGGGTTTGCACAACAACCTTTGCCTACCTCAATCAGCTGCTGTATGTTAAACATTAAGCTTATACATCAGAAAATAAAATACTTAAAGTTTGATCTTTGTATAAAGTTTTAAAAAGATTTCTCTGAACAGATAATGAAATATGCTCTAGAAATGAAATCAGGACAGAAGGAAAGTCATCAAAAAAAAAAATAATAGGTTGATGAATGTAAAAGTGTTATAAAGGTATCTTGAACAGTTTCTGAGATGTGCTCTAGAATAATAATTATATACCAAACCAGCAGCTGCCAGGCAGGATACGCCCACATTTTGCAAGAGATGGATAGAGAACAAGCTAAAAACAAACAGGATTTTTTGTACAAGCAGGGGCAATAATTCAGAAAGTTATGGTCTGAAATGTGCAAATATCAAAAGGGACTAAGATCTTTGGGATATATAAAGATATGTTTTAAGTTTCATCAAAATCGGATAAAAATTGTGACCTCTAGAGGGTACACAACCTTCGTATTGCACACAATTTGCGTACAAAGAGCGGACATTTTGTCAGGCAGTTTCATTTCGATTTTCCTGAAATTCAAATTCAATCTTCATTATGGTGCAATGGTGAAATATTTAAACGGTTTTTAAAATAGGAAAAAAAAATTGTGACCTCTAGAGAATCTGCAAGCTAAAAATGCGATTTTTCGAACAATCAGGAGCCATAATCCAGACAGTTACGTTCGGATATACGCAATTATCAAAAGGAACCAAGATCTTAGTGTGTAATGGTGATATATTCACATGTTTTTTTTAAATTGGATAAAAATTTTGACCTCTACAACAAGCTAAAAACATGATTTTTCATACATTCAGGGGCCATTATTCAGGAAATTACCATCTGATATGGCCAAATATCAAAAGGAACCAAGATCTTTGGGTTATAAACATGCATTTCAAATTTCATCAAAATCAGATCAAAATTGTGACCTCTAGAGGTTCCACAACTTTGATATTATTATTATTATTATTACAGCATATTTATAGTGCACCCTTTCATATAACATGTTCAGGGGCACTTTACAAAGTGACAATGTAAATCACACATAAACAACAAGATTATGGGCATGTTAACGATTGTATACAGAGTCAGTTAAAAGCCTGATTAAATAAATGTGTTTTAAGTTGTTTTTTAAAAGAATATAGAGATGAACAACATCTTAAACTAAATGGTAGATTATTCCATAGAACAGGTGCTTGATAACTAAAAGAGTGCTGACCATAAGAGACTAGTTGAACAGTTTTGGGCTTTAAAAGTAGTTTATCTGATGTACGTAATGTTCGGCCAGGTGTATAAAGTTCTAAAAGATCTGAGAGGTAAACAGGAGCTAAATTATTTAAACATTTAAAAGTAAGTAATAAAATCTTAAAATCAATTCGATATTTAACAGGTAACCAGTGTAAATTATATAAAACAGGAGTTATGTGGTCACATTTCTTAGTTAAAGTAACAAGTCTAGCCGCAGTATTCTGTACTTTTTGTAATTTATCTATAAGCTTTAAAGGTAAACCAACTAAAAGTGAATTAAAGTTATCTAATCGAGAAGTGACCAGAGAATTAACAAGTGACTTAGTGGCCTCTACAGTTACACATTTACGTATTTTACCTATATTTCTTATCTAATATTAAAATAGCACAATTTACAAATATTATTTACTTGAGCTCCCATAAGCATAAAACTATCAAAGATAGCGCCAATATTACGAGCAGAATAAGATGAAAATATATCACAATTACCAATTACAACAGGGGGGTTATCTTGTGCAGATTTACTTAATTGATGCCTTGAGCCTAATAACAAATACTCGGTTTTATCATCATTCAATTTTAGAAAGTTCTTTGACATCCATTTTCTAATTTCACTAATACAGTTCTCAAGTTGCAATTTTGATAAATTGAAAGAAGATGGACAATTAGGTATAAATGAAATATATAATTGAGTATAATCGGCATACAAATGATATACAAGATGCTTACACTAATTGTGTACGAGGGGCCGCCATTTTGTCCGGCAGTTTTGGTCATATTTTCACTAAATTCGAACTCAACCAAAATTACGGTGTAACAGTGATATATTTGAACGTTATTTCAATTGGATAAAAATTATGACCGCTATAGGGTCCACAAGCTAAAAACGTGATTTTTTCGTACTATCAGGGGCCATGATTCAGGAATTTACGGTTCGATATCCTTCTCAAAACACTGCAATTGTCGGGGAATACCCTGGCTATAAAAAATAGATCAAAATAGGTCATGTTTGTGTCACGTGACTTGCCTCTCTCGGTACTTAGCAACGAAGGCGAAGTCGGAGGAGAATTCATTGCATACACAAGACGATGTTGTCTTTAATCGCCGACTATTTATTACAAATATCGAAGTCTAATTAAATTATCGGATTATCCACTGCCTGCGTCTTTTTCCATGATTTTTATCTCAGAAAGTGTTGTACGTCTAATTTTTCATAAAGTTTACCAACATGTACATCAAGTGCTCAATCTCCGCGTGCAACCTTCGACGTCACGCGTGCAGACACCCCTAATCGTCGGGCTGTCGATTAGGGAAACCCTTACATTTTTGTCCTGTATGCGCTCCATGAATGTTTTTCATGGAATCCAGTATTGGATGTTTCTACTTTCCATATATACCAAAATTGCCATACTTTTCTTAGAAATAACCACCCGATAAATACTTTTCTGGGAACGTAGCTTTAATTAATCAGAACTTCATTACCAGTATACATTTACTGACATAATAAGTACACTATAACTTGTAATAACTATACATGACATGAACATGTAGTGTATGATTGATATATATGTTTACTTACTTTTAGCTTTGTGTGGCTTCTTATTGGTGGGCTGCCAGCGTATTTCTGTCATGTCATTGCTAAGTGAAAAGAACCGATGATATTGTCGACTATTTGAACGAACTTTGATAAGTTCACTTCCATTCTGCATATATGCTAAACAGTCTTGAGCTGTAAAATATAAAATGATAACAACTTTAGGAAAGATTTGTTTAAAGTTTTCAGTCATTGTAATTATAATTTACCTGTCAATGAGGTTGGATGCCTTGTCACCTTTGCATGACATTTTGAGTAGAGATGAATAAACAGTATTTTTATATTTTATTCATTTGACTTAGAAACTACATCAAAGATAAATTAAAGATAGGTTACCAGGCAACGAAACATACGCCCACAGCAGCTAAATTGGCCGGGGAGTCAACAAGTGTTGTCGCATATTTTTACTCTTTTCGGTAATGAAACATTTATAATACACTAAAATCTGATTAAGAATAACAACAGATGAAGTAATTATCAGAAAACCATTAGAATTTGTTTGGTTTTTATAAAGTTCTGACCCATGCTAATGTTTAGTAAACGAAACTTTTAATATCATGGATTTAGCTGTTCAAGTCATAAAAATTCATTGAAAATCAATATACTTGTTCGTCTCAAGATCTTAAACTCTGTGTATCAATCTGAAGTCAATCAGATGATAACTATAGCCTCTAGAGCGTCATAAGATTTTTCAAAGTGATCAAGGGCCATAACTTTGACAGTAATTATCGGAAATCGTTGAAAATCAATAGGATTCTTCGTCTCATGACCTCAAAGATTGTGCATAAATTTAAACTCAATCGGATATTGACTTTAGCCTCTAGAGCATTCACAAGATTTTTTTTGAAGTGATCAAGGGCCATAACACTGGCAGTAATTATTGAAAATCACTGAAAATGAATATATTTCTTTGTCTCATGAACTTAAACACTGTATAAATTTAAAGTCAATCGGATTTTAATTTTAGCCTTTAGAGCGCCCACAAGATTTTTCAAAGTGATCAAGGGCCATAACTCTGGCAGTAATTATTGTAAATCGTTCTTCATCTCATGACCTTAAACACTGTGTATAAATTTAAAGTCAATTGGATATTAACTTTGGCCTCTAGAGCGTCCACAAGATTTTTTGAAGTGATCAAGGGCCATAACTCTGGCAGTAACTATCGGAAATCGCTGAAAATCAATAGGCTTCTTCATCTCATGGCCTTAAACACTGCATATATATTTAAAGTCAATCAGATACTACTAACTTTAGCCTTTCTCATTTGGAAAACTATCTTGGCCAAATAGTAGATTTGCATAAACTATTAAATGACCTGGATATCAATATTAAATCCACTATTGAAACTAGTTATAAGGAAATTGCATTTTTAGATGTGCTCATAATCAAATTATTACAGATATTTACTCGAAAGAAACAGACACTAACAAGCCAACAGTGAGGCTGATGTTCCCCACCGCAATCCCAAAATAAATAGAACACACATATTAATTAATTGCACATTTATATTTTTGAAAAGTATCGAGCAATCAAACTGATTATCTTTACTTAGTCTAACTAAGCAGAAAATGTTCATGACAAAAGTCAGTCAAGGTTCTGAAGTACCTGGTAGTAAAACTCTACACTAAGTTTCATCACTCTCCATAAGTTAGAATCAAAGTTATCGTATTCCAAATCATCCACCAATGAAATTGCTTAGCTTGAACTCAGTCAAGACATTCACCTAACGAATATCTACACCAAATGTTTAAATCTTCTAGCTCTACCTCAATCAAAAGCAAAGTTGCTATGTTCCAAAGTGCTTATCGCCACTTAGCCTATGCAGAAAATTCTCTACTAATTGAGCTAGAACATTCAAACTTGGTGTAGGTGTTTATTAGGTTAAGTGAGAGTGATGAAATTTGTGTATAGTTTCATTACATCAATACTTTGACTAAGTTCGATAATGAGCATTTTCTTCTCAGGGTAAGCAGAGCGATAAGCAATTTGATTGGTTGATGTTTGGGACACAATAACTTTATTTCTAATTAAACATACATTATGCAAGAGCTAAATCTGCCTATTATAGGTCTTTCTTTGGGCATGAAATGTTATATAAACTATTAATTAGACATTAACTAACGTATCCAGACCATAATCAACTCTCGATGTCAACGCTAGCCTGCGATAATTATTGGATTATGATCCGATTTGCTGCATAACTTTCCTTCTCGATTTAACAATTGAATGGATAATCGAGACTATGATTTTTGTCATACTGACTTTAGTAATGATGACCGAGGCTATGCGGAACTTTCGATCGCTTATTTCTCGGTTCATAGTGGATCAATTTGACTGAAATTTTCAGCAAATTGCCTTTACATTATCTAGTTTTTAACTATTATAGTGAGAACTGTCATTTCGTTATCGAATCTCCCATAATGTATCTTTAAGTGAGAGGGATGAAACTTCGAGTATAGATTCATTATATCATTACCTTGACTAAGTTTGATGATGCGAATTTTCTCCTTAGGCTAAGGAGTAATAAGCAGTTTTATTGATCAAGATTTTGGAACATAACAACTCTGCTTTTAATTGAGGTAGAATGTTTAAACTTGATGTACATGTTCATTAGGTTAATGTCTTGACTAAGTTCAATGATTAACATTTTGAGCTAAAGTTAAGCAGAGCTAAGCAATTCCATTGGTCGATGCTTTGGGACAAGATAACTTTGATTCTATCTGATAGAGAGTGATGAAACTTAGTGTATGGTTGATAATCAGTTTGATTGCTTGATACTTTTGAAAAAAATAAATGTGCTATTAATTAATATGTGTCATCTATTTATTTTGGGATTTCGGCAGGGGATTTCGGCAGGGGACATCAGCGTCACTGTTAGCTTGTTTCTTTTGTCAAAAGATTGTTGCATAAAATCTGATTTAGAGTTACAACCAGTGATGGGATTTCGCCCGTATATTCCGGACATGTCCGACGCTATTTTCCAAACGTCCTAAATTGTCCGACCAGGAATATGCCCAGTTGGTGAATAATATTCAAAATTCCAAAATTAAAGAAAGGGTCTGGCACTCGTTTAAGTTGCTGTGGGTGGAAAGACAATTGTCTAAAAATAATGTAAAACTTTATTTTTCGAATATCAGTCTAATAGTTTAAAAGATATGATCCGTTAAAGTTCCAAAATTATCACCTGTCCACAGAACGGCACCGAGTATACCCTGTGTTACGAAAAATAGTCGTGACGTAGTTGGCATTTTTTAATTTAATATGGCGGTGTTATACTCATTAATAATGGATCGTGACAGCATTTTAGAATCGGAGAGCGATCAGCGTGATATTGCATCCTCGGGGTCAAATTCCGACAGATTTAATCCACGAGAATCTTGAAGAGAGAAATTTAGAACCATATCAATTTGAGTCGTATGTTTCTGATGAAGAAATAGTAGGGATATTGGCGCTACGAGTATGACCGATGCAGATGAAAGAAGGCTTATTTCCACAAACTGGTCAGTTTATAACTTTTATTGTTTCAAAACAATAGCATAGTGATGTGAATGATGTGAAAATTTGGCACCTTTCCAAAAAGTGCATAAGGAATATTTATGATGGGCCTAGTAATGCATTAGTCCATATTGCCAATGTTGATTGAACTATTAAGGCTAGGTATCCCCGGTCCTTTGTTTCGGTTAATTATTTTTTTTTGGACCCATTTATTTATGGGCTGGCTCTATTAATTAAAGTCCATTTTTTAAACAAATTATTTATTTCACAGGTGTTCTTGTGGCAGTTGTACCATTATGCCAACAGTACAAGAAAGTATCTGCTGCAGAGAAGTTGATTTAGTTGAGAAAAAATGTGAGGAACAGGGGTTATATTGCATTCTCCAGCACCCTGGTTTTCATCCAGTCTGTCTGAATGCCTTTGTTTTAGAAACTGCATCTACATGTACAGTATAGGCAACAGTATGGGGTGACACAGAGGAAACAGGACCTGAGTATTTAAATTAAATTAAATAAATCTGTCTTGCAGGAGAAAAAAGCCTTGATCTGTCTGTATACTCATTTGAATTGGTGTTTTCAATTACATTTAAAAATATATGCCAAAATAATATAATAATGTTGGCTTGATACAGGTATCTTTTTCTTACAGATGCAGCCATTACACTTCATACAGACAGTTTGTAAGATGGTGTTGGGGATACCTTGGGAAAAAAGTTTGTGTGGCAATACCTTCCTGTGTTGTGACAAAAATTAGAGAAACATTTCCATCCCAGGATTATAAAGGATTTATACAAATAAAAAACTAATTCTGAATATTTAAACTTATTTATTTGGAAATCGTGAAATTTTTTAACTTCACAGCGTCTTCTTTTAGTGGGTGAACATAACCGGAGCATAATGGTGGTGGGACTCTCAAAGGAATTGCAGTTCTGTTTTGATTGTCACACTTTTCCGTTGCATATTGAATGAGGCTTTTAACTTACTCTGAAAGAATACAAGACCAGTGTTATTTTTTTCAACCAGCGGCTGCCAGGCAGGATACGCCCACATTTTCGAGAGATGGATAGAGAACAAGCTAACAAGAAAGTGATTTTTCCTACAATCAAGGGCCATATTTTTACGCTATTTGAGAACGAAATTCGAACTCAACCTTTCTTAGGGTGTAACGGTGATATAATAATACGGTTTTTTAAATCGGATAAAAATTATGACCTCTATAGGGTCCACAAGCTAAAAACATGATTTTTCATACAATCAGGGGCCATAATAGTAATATAATAATAAGTTTTTTTAAATCGGATAAAAATTATGACCTCTATAGGGTCCACAAGCTAAAAACGCAATTTTTCGTACAATCAGGGGCCATAATTCGGGAAGTTACGGTCCGATATGCGCGATTATCGAAAGGAACTAAGATCTTTGGGTTATAAACTTACATTTCAAGTTTCAAAAAAATCGGATAAAAATTGTAACCTCTATAGGGTCCACAAGCTAAAAACGTGATTTTTCGTACAATCAGGGGCCATAATCCATGAAGTTTCGATCCGATACATGCCAATATCGAAAGCAGCCGAGATCTTTTGGGGATAAACCTATATTTCAAGTTTCGTCAAAATCGGATAAGAATTGTGACCTGTAGAGATTCCACAAACAATTGTGGACGTCCGAACGGACAGGGGCGACGGCATAATATGTCCACATGAAAATGTGGGCGTATAAAAAGTAAAATCTAATTATAACGTAAACAATAAATTCAAAATTGTTCCATTGAAAGTAACTGTCTTTAATAGCCCAGTTTGAGCGGAACACTAGGACGTTAAACCCCATTTCATTTTTATGTCATTTCATTGAAAAAATTCATTGTTCTTTTTAATTTTCAGCAAAATATTCCAATAATACATACTATAAGATGTTGGCTCTTTGCACTCCCTAACTATATAATCTCCTTTTTTATATTTTGGATAGATTACATCAAATTTTGGTCTACCATCTTTGGTAACAGCTTGAATTCGTGCACTATTTTCGTTGTAATGGAGTGCAGCAATTAAAAGTCTAAAACAAAGAATAAGAAACTGTTAAATTAGAACTGGGAATTATTGCCATGAACATAAAATTTCTAAGACATTTATACCTGATTTCAATTTCCACATGTTAGATACTTTGATAATTTGAGAAGGAATGAATTATAAAATTCAAATAAATAATTATGTTGAACAATTTTTGGGAATCTTTAAATAACAAGAATGGAGAATCACATTTTTAAGAGCTCTAATTGATATTTAACGGTACATTGAAACAACTTTTAAAAAAATTTTGGGAATCCATCCCAACATATGTTCTTAAAATAACAATATTGGAGAATCACATTTTTAAGAGCTCTAATTAATATTTAACGGTACATTGAAACAACTTTAAAAAAGATAGGTCGCCAGGCAACGAAACATACGCCCACAGCAACTAAATCGTCCAGGCAGTCAACAAGGGTTGTCGCATATTTTTACTTTTTTCGGTAATGAAACATTTATAATACACTAAAATCTGATTAAGAGCAACAAGAGCACGAAGTAATTATCAGAAAACTATTAGAATTTGTTTGGTTTTTATAAAGTTCTGCCCCATGCTAACGTTTTGTATGCAAAGCTTTTAATATCATGGATTTAACTGTTTAAGTCATAAAAATTCATTGAAAATCAATATACTTGTTCGTCTCAAGATCTTAAACTCTGTGTATCAATCTGAAGTCAATCGGATTATAACTTTAGCCTTTAGAGCATCACAAGATTTTGCAAAGTGATCAAGGGCCATAACTTTGGCAGCAATTATCGGAAATCGTTGAAAATCAATAGGTTTCTTCGTCTCATGACCTTAAACATTGTGTATAAATTTAAAGTCAATCGGATATTAACATTGGCCTTTAGAGCATCCACAAGATTTTTTTACGTGATCAAGGGCCATAACTCTTGCAGTAATTATCGGAAATCGCTGAAAATCAATAGGCTTCTTCGTCTCATGACCTTAAACACTGTGTATAAATTGAAAGTCAATCGGATATTAACTTTGGCCTTTAGAGCGTCCACAAGATTTTTTGAAGTGATCAAGGGCCATAACTCTGGCAGTAATTATCAGAAATCGTTGAAGATCAATAGGCTTCTTCGTCTCATGACCTCAAACACTGTGTATAAATTTAAGGTCAAAAGGATATTAACTTTGGCCTCTAGAGCTTCCACAAGATTTTTCAAAGTGATCAAGGGCCATAACTCTGGAAGTAATTATCGGAAATCGTTGAAAATCAATAGGCTTCTTCGTCTCAAGACCTTAAACACTGTGTATAAATTTAAAGTCAATCAGATATTAACTTTAGCCTCTAGAGCGTCCACAAGCAATTGTGGACGCCGGACCGCCAGACGGACGGACAGACGGGGGCGACGACAATATACGACCACATTTCAATGTGGGCGTATAAAAATTAAAATATGACCAGCAGACAACATCCCAGCTTGGATTCAATTCAATGCTCACACACATCTTTGACGGTATATTTTATCATTAGTTACCTGCAATGCATTCCATGAAACAAAAATCCTATCATTTTAGGGGCAAAATGATTTACGACACTATGGTAGGCTTCTATATTTGATGTTTGGTAGATCGGATAAAGTTTCTTGACATCTCTCTTTACTTGATTTGTAGTTAGTAAATCTGTCAACTTCTCACAAGCTTTAGTACCTGTAATTAAATTATTCTTGTAACAAAGATCCAAATATGGAATTAGAAACCTGGGTAATATTAATGATCAAAGGTGGTCATGCAATATATTACAGTTTTATGGGAAACAATCACTGGTTTATAATATAGAACAACATTTCGACAAGTATCCCCAATATTACTAAATGCCACTTAGACATTAATATATTACCTGGTTTTAGCCATTTTATTTTCAATCCATCCTCATGACAACATTTTGGAAAAAATTCACTATGCCCTTCGTGTACATATTTTGAACATGGTTACACACTGACTCTCAATTTGCCCACATAACATTCCAATCTCCATCTTCAGTGGAGCCAGCTGACCAATAGAGGTGGTTTATGATGCTTTTTGTCCACAAACCCACATCTTCACATTCTTTTTCTTTTGACAATGATGCCATTTTTTTCTTTAGACCTATAGAATATAAAAGATAGGTTGCCAGGCAACGAAACATACGCCCACAGCGGCGAAATCGTCCGAGCAGTCGACAAGGGTTGTCGCATATTTATTCCTTTGTAGGTAATTGGGGGCTTTTACAAGACAGTTCCATACAGATCAGACTATAAATTTTGTCGTTTGAGGGCTTACAAGGTTCTACAAACTGAAACAAGGGTCTCAACTCTGGAAGTAATCTACAGAAATTGTTGAAATTTGACAGGCCTTATCGTTTTACTAATTCAAATAATGCATATAAACTTCATACAGATCACATGATTACTTTTGTCATTCAAACGTTCACAATCGCCATAACTCTAGAAATTATTGACGGAAATTGCTGAAATTCAATAGACCTGTTTCACAAATTTAAATGATGCATATAAATTCGAACTCAGCCATCCTTAGGGTGTAACGGGGATATAATAATACGTTTTTTTAAATCGGATAAAAATTATGACCTCTATAGGGTCCACAAGCTAAAAACGCGATTTTTCGTAAAATCAGAGGCCATAATTCAGGAAGTTACGGTCCGATGTGCGCGAATATCGAAAGGAACTGAGATCTTTGGGTTATGAACTTACATTTCAAGTTTCAACAAAATCCAATAAATATTGTGACCTCTATAGGGTCCACAACCTTGATATACCATATTTTTACGCTATTTGAGAACAAAAGGCGGCCATTATGTCTGTCAATTTTCACGACATTCAAACTCAGCCATCCTTAGGGTGTAACGGTGATATAATAATACGTTTTTTTTAAATCGGATAAAAATTATGATCTCTATAGGGTCCACAAGCTCAAAAACGCGATTTTTCATACAATCAGGGGCCATAATTCAGGAAGTTACGGTCCGATATGCGTGAATATCGAAAGGAACTGAGATCTTTGGGTTATCAACTTACATTTCAAGTTTAAACAAAATCGGATAAAAATTGTGACCTCTATAGTGTCCACAAGCTAAAAACGTGATTTTTCGTACAAACAGGGGCCATAATCCATGAAGTTTCGATCCGATACATGCCATTATCGAAAGCAGCCGAGATCTTTTGGAGATAAACCTATATTTCAAGTTTCGTCAAAAGCGGATAAGAATTGTGACCTGTAGAGTGTCCACAAACAAATTGTGGACAGACGTCCGGACGGACAGGGGCGACGACAATATACATCCACATGAAAAGCAATAAATAAAGTATTAAAAACATACATGTACCTTTCTCCCTACATTGAGGTGTAGCTTGAACATCGACTGACTTTAAGATATTCTAAAAGATAAAGCATGCTGTTAAACTAAGGAATAATTCATTGTGTGTAATAGTAGGGCTTCTTGTCACAAAATCGTGCTCAATTAAAACTCATGCAAAACCATTTAAAACCAGCGGCTGCCAGGCAGGATACGCCCACATTTTCGAGAGATGGATAGAAAACAAGCTAAAACGAAAGTGATTTTTCCTACAATCAAGGGCCATAATTCAGGAAATTACAATTCGATATGTGCAAATATCGAAAGGAACCAAGATCTTTGAGTTACAAACTTACATTTCAAGTTTTAACAAAATCGGATAAAAATTGTGACCTCTATAGGGCCCACATTTTTACGCTATTTGAGAACGAAGAGCAGCCATTTTATCTGTCAGATTTTGGCCGATTTTCACGAAATTCGAACTCAGTCGTCCTTAGGGTGTAACGGTGATATAATAATATGATTTTTTTAAATCGGATAATAATTATGAACTCTATAGGGTCCACAAGCCAAAAAACACGTTTTTACGTACAATCAGGGGCCATAATTCAGGAAGTTATGGTCCGATATGCGCAAATATTGAAATGAACCAAGATCTCTGGGTTATAAACTTACATTTCAATTTTCAACAAAATCGGATAAAAATTGTGACCTCTATAGGGTCCACAACCTTGATATACCATATTTTTACGCTATTTGAGAACGAACGGCGGCCATTTTGTCTGTCAATTTTGGGCCGATTTTCACGAAATTCGAACTCAGCCATCCTTAGAGTGTAACGGGGATATAATAATACGTTTTTTTAAATCGGATAAAAATTATGACCTCTATAGGGTCCACAAGATAAAAACGCGATTTTTCGTACAATCAGGGGCCATAATTCAGTAAGTTACGGTCCGATATGCGCGAATATCGAAAGGAACCGAGATCTTTGGGTTATAAACATATATTTCAAGTTTCAACAAAATCGGATAAAAATTGTGACTTCTATAGGGTCCACAAGCTAAAAACGTGATTTTTCGTACAAACAGGGGCCATAATCTATGAAGTTTCGATCCGATACATGCCAATATTGAAAGCAGTCGAGATCTTTTGGAGATAAACCTAGATTTCAAGTTTCATCAAAATCGAATAAGAATTGTGACCTGTAGAGGGTCCACAAACAATTGTGGACGGACGGACGTCCGGATGGACAGGGGCGACGGCATAATACGTCCACATGAAAATGTGGGCGTATAAAAATCAAAAGGCTTCTTCGTCTCATGACCTAAAACACTGTGTATAAATTTAAAGTCAATCAGATATGGACAGGGGCGACGGCATAATACGTCCACATGAAAATGTGGGCGTATAAAAATCAAAAGGCTTCTTCGTCTCATGACCTAAAACACTGTGTATAAATTTAAAGTCAATCAGATATTAAACATACATTATGCAAGAGCTAAATCTGCCTATTGCATGTCTTTATTTAGGCTTCAGATGTTATAGAAATTATTAATTAGACCTTTATTTACACGACAAGCTTAAAATCAACTCTGTAGATCCACGGATGGCTTGGATGCTGTTTGGATATAAACAGCCTCGTCCATTTAAAATTAAATAAATAAATGGCGGACCAAGCTAACGCTGACGGTTACTTGCTGATGTCACAACTGGAAGCCTGCCAAACGAGGCTACCGTAGCCATTGAGTATGTTATTTGATAATCGAGAATATGTGGGTGGAGTTATCGTTTGTCAATCAAACGATCGCCAATTCTCATAGACGGTGAAGATAGAATTGATGCCTATTTCTAGTCCAAACTTCTAACAGTGACAATTTCGTTCAGAACAAAGTAATTTGACTGAAATTTTCAACATTTTCTTTTTTTATCATCTATTTTTGAATTATTATAGCAAGAATGGCCAACTCTTTATAAAACTCTTAACTAATGTATCTTTAATTTTGGCCTCTAGAGCGTCCACAAGATTTTTTGTAGTGATCAAGGGCCATAACTCAGGCAGTAATTATCGGAAATCGCTGAAAATCAATAGGATTCTTCGTCTCATGACCTTAAACACTGTGTATCAATTTAACGTCAATCGGATATTAACTTTGACCTTTAGAGTGTCCACAAGATTTTTTGAAGTGATCAAGGGCCATAACTCTGGCAGTAATTATCGAAAATCGCTGTAAATCAATAGGCTTCTTCGTCTCATGACCTTAAACACTGTGTATAAATTTAAAGTCAATCAGATATTAACTTTGGCCTCTAGAGCGTCCACAAGATTTTTTGAAGTGATCAAGGGCCGTAACTCTGGCAGTAATTATGGGAAATCGCAGAAAATCAATAGGCTTCTTCATCTCATGACCTTAAACATTGTGTATAAATCTAAAGTCAATCAGATATTATCTTTGGCCTCTTGAGCGTCCACAAGATTTTTTGAAGTGATAAAGGGCCATAACTCTGGCAGTAATTGTTGGAAATTGTTGAAAATTAATAGGATTCTTCTTCTCATGACCTTAAACACTGTGTATAAATTGAAAGTCAATCGGATATTAACTTTGGCCTCTAGAGCGTCCACAAGATACTTTGAAGTGATCAAGGGCTATAACTCTGGCCGTAATTATCAGAAATTGTTGAAAATTAATAGGATTCTTCTTCTCATGACCTTAAACACTGTGTATAAATTTAAAGTCAATTGGATATTAACTTTGGCCTCTAGACCATACACAAGATATTTTGAAGTGATCAAGGGCCATAACTCTGGCAGTAATTATTGGAAATCGCTGAAAATCAATAGGCTTCTTCGTCTCATGACCTTAAACACTGTGTATAAATTGAAAGTCAATCGGATATTAACTTTGGCCTCTAGAGCGTCCACAAGATACTTTGAAGTGATCAAGGGCTATAACTCTGGCCATAATTATCAGAAATTGTTGAAAATCAATAGGATTCTTCTTCTCATGACCTTAAACACTGTGTATAAATTTAAAGTCAAATGGATATTAACTTTGGCCTCTAGACCATCCACAAGATATTTTGAAGTGATCAAGGGCCATAACTCTGGCAGTAATTATTGGAAATCGCTGAAAATCAATAAGCTTCTTCGTCTCATGACCTTAAACACTGTGTATAAATCTCAAGTCAATCGGATATTAACTTTAGCCTCTAGAGCGTCCACAAGCAATTGTGGACGCCGGACCAAGGGACGGACAGGGGTGACAACAATATACGACCACATTTCAATGTGGGCGTATAAAAAACGACAAAGTTATGTCCTCTTCATGTCATGATTATATTAATTAATTATAAAATTCCTACCCTAGTGACTTCTCTTTTGTGGTAAGCTGATCTCTTTCCTTTCTTTGGAAGGGAACTATCGGTTGTTTCCTGGTTTATTGCTGGATAAATGGATGGCACGGATCCCGGAAGAAGCTTTTTGTATTTTTCTGTGAAATCCAATGCCTTTTTTATGTCATATTTTTGGTCATAACAATCTGCAGAAAAGTGGACTTCGCATTACATAGCATAATTCCTAGTTGGTTGGGTAAAGTCAGCTCTTGTCAGTTTAACAAACCGTGCCCATTGTGTCTTCAAGGATTTTTCTGTCGGAAACAAATGCACGGATACCCCTTCCTTGTGAGTATTGCTGCATCCCGCAGCAACACAACGTCTCCCCATCACATAAAGAAAAATCTGAATCTTTGAAGGTGCCCCCCTCTTTTCTTCACAATGAGATCTTGGCGCTTCCGGCTCCCTGCTAACTCGCATGACGTCACGCGGGGGAATTCCTTATAATCTAATCAGGAAAGGTATGTCTTTTTTCGCCAATAGCCCAGTAGGCCCTCGGCGCACAACTTTCAAACTTCCTACACTTGTTATCATGATATAGATGAAGGATTTAAAGCAATGATGCTCAAGTTCCGGACCCTATCTTTAATATAGTGTACTGAGTGTATATCTACCACTCAACTCCATTAGGCTGGATTGATTAGGTAATTAAGTGATCGACGTATTTATCGTGTTATACCGTCAATACACCTACCTTGATTAACTACCTAATCTGCCTTGATTAGCTGACTTAATACTCTGTCGGACAATTCATCAATCCAATCCTGAACAGAAGTCATTGCCTCTCCTTTGTCAGACTATGTATCAATCCAATAAGAGTGATTATAAACTTAACCTACATGATTAACCTGTGATATCTCCATTGTCGGACATTTCCATTTCCTTGACAAGTCATTAAAGATAGGTTGCCAGGCAACGAAACATACGCCCACAGCAGCTATATCTTCCCGGCAGTCAACAAGTGTTGTCGCATATTTTTACTTTTTTCGGTAATGAAACATTTATAATACATTAAAATCTGATTAAGAGTAACTACTCATTAAGTAATTATCAGAAAACCATTAGAATTTGTTCGGTTTTTATAAAGTTCTGCCCCATGCTAACGTTAAGTATATGAAACTTTTAACATCATGGATTTAGCTGTTCAAGTCATAAAGATTCACTGAAAATCAATATACTTGTTTGTCTCAAGACCTTAAACACTGTGTATAAATTTAAATTCAATCGGATATTAACTTTTGCCTCTAGAACGTCCACAAGATTTTTCAAAGTGATCAAGGGCCATAACTCTGGCAGTAATTTCAGAAATCGCTGGAAATCAATAGGCTTCTTCGTCTCATGGCCTTAAACACTGTGCATAAATTTAAAGTCAATCGGATATTAACTTTGACCTCTAGAGCGTCCACAAGATTTTTTGAAGTGATCAAGGACCATAACTCTGGCCGTAATTATCGAAAATCATTGAAAATCAATAGGCTTCTTCGTCTCATGACCTTAAACACTGTGTATAAATTTAAAGTCAATCGGATATTAACTTTAGCCTATAGAGCGTCCACAAGCAATTGTGGACGCCGGACCGACGAAACGACATACGGACGGACGAACAGGGGCGACAACAATAAACGACCACATTTCAATGTGGGTGTATAAAAATGCATCATTTAAGATTTAGATAATGAGTTGGCCCTTCTTGCTACATGTATAATAGTTCCAAAATAGATAATTCAATTTCAAAGTTAATATATTGAAAATTTCTTTCAAATTATTATATTCTGAGCGACATTATCACTGTTTGACATTTTGACATGGATTGTTTATTATCGTACATGTAGCAACATTAATTGTTTATTGAGACTCAGCCTCGCTTCTCCATTTTTAAATTAAATCATTAAATGGCAATCATATTTTAATCTGTTTGCATCTGCGCCATCCGACAGTCTAGAGGGTTGATTTTAAGCTTGTCATGTGAATTTATGTCTGAATAAATCATTTATATAACATTTGAAGTCAAAATAAAAACCTGTAATAGGCAGATTTAGCTCTTACATAACACATTTTCAAGAAATTATCACAAATCATTAGAATTTGTTTGGTTTCTATTCAAAAACTGTTTAAAGTTGGTATTGGTACTAGGGCTGCAAAGATATGCCAGGCCATGATACGATGCACATCACGATTCATAGTCTACGATACGATTAATATCACGATACAGGAAATAAATTTTAAAAATGCTGTTAAATTTTGACAGTCTTTCACTGTCAAAATACGAAGGCCTACTTTTATGATTTATTTTAAATGTGGTGTTTTCCTCGGTCAACTGACCGGTTTTCATTGCTGTCATGCATAACGGGGGAATCCTAAAAACTCCCATACTTCACTTGTGACTTATAGGGGATTTCGATCTCAATATTGCTTTTGTTGATTGTGGGACTTGAATTTGGTGGATTCATTATTAATAAATTACAGCTAATGAAAAGCTTCCGCGTAGTCAGATTAGTCATAGATTAGGGAACAGCAAAGGAAATAACATTACGAAGATTTTAATATCAAATATTAATATACATTGAAAATGTGCTGATCAATGTATTCAGTATACAAATCGCCATTCTTATACAGGAATATTATTACAAATCGCATATTATAGACGTATATAGGCCTATATATATTAATATGTTGTTTTTTTCTGCATATTATTCAAGTGTGTAATTTGAACGCAACTTAATTTCCAGCATGACTTGCTTAACCAGACTGATATTTTAATCTCGACGAAATAGCTACAATGAGCCACTTCATGTGTCGAAAATGCCTTAACACTCGCTGAAAGTAAAAAAATTATTTTGCTCATGGACTTATTTACGCATTTAAAGGAATATCAGTCTATTTTTCTGAAATTGTTATTTGGATAACGAATCGCGATACGGCTAGTGATTGTATCGTGCATCATAGATTTTTAAAACATAGTGGGTCATCGATTCATTGTTGCAGCCATAATTAGTACATAAAATGAACTTCCTAACAAAATTCTAAAATTCAAGGTACAAGATACTGTACCTGTAACAAAATAATCCCTTTAAATCCTATTAATTATTAAATGTGGTTATTCTGAAAGCAATTTAATTTGCTTGTGCACTTATATGGATGAAAAATATATCAAAATAGCATCTAATAAATCACAGTTAACATGTTTTTGATCTGTGTAAAACAAAGTAAAAAAAAAATGTAACTCTTTTCATAACTACATGTGTTCTGACAAAACAACATAAAAAAGAGGATTTGAAAAAATAAAGGTTGACTTTAATAGTGTAATAGTGTTATTTATCACACATTATTACTGATGTTAAATTGTAGGTAGGAAGACATGTTACAGTCATGAGCAGCCTGTCTCTTACAGGCAATTTTAAACACAGTTTTTCTTCATGTAAAAAGTAAAACAGTTTTATTTTCTAGTTTAATTTATATACGTATGTTACTGTTATTCACAAAGAAATAACTTTAATCCTTGGTATACAACTTTGACCTCTAGGGCGTCCACAAGATTTCTTGAAGTGATCAAGGGCCATAACTCTGGCAGTAATTATCGGAAATCGCTGAAAATCAATAGGCTTCTTCGTCTCATGACCTTAAACACTGTGTATCAATTTAACGTCAATCGGATATTAACTTTAGCCTCTAGGGCATCCACAAGCAATTTTGGACACCGGACCGCCGACAATATACGTCTAGATTTCAATGTGGGCGTATAAAAATAATCAATTAGAGAAATTTGATATTTTCCGAATATACAAATTAGGCATCATTACTTTAATTAACACACTCTAAAAGAATTGGAGCATGTCACTAACCATAACACTGAAATTCAGTGTTTGTTGTTTGCATGACTAACCGTAAATTCTGAATAAAGATTTATGTTTTGAAGAATTAAGAGCGAGATAAAATAATTTTAATGATAGTTTGAAAGTCAACAAAACATAAGCCTACAACAGCTAGGTCTTCTGAGTAGTCAACAAGGGGTGCCGCATATTTAAGGTATTAAGGATTATAAAGTTAGAAATTAAGGTATTAAGGATTATAAAGTTAGAAATTAAGGTATTAAGGATTATAAAGTTAGGGTTACTAAGAAACAAAGCTAAGGTATAAAAAAGTCCTGAAAATTGTATAAGAAGGTGAGTGGACCATACTGAAGGGCAGATCTCTGGTAAGTTATTTCTTAGATGCTGTTCCTTATTAATATTAAGTTACCTAGCCTGTGGGTCAGTTTTGTATTATATACTCTTCAAAAAAAGTAGGGGATATTCAGAAACAATGCAAAACTGCGGAAATGCACTGCTGTTTCTACATGTATTAGAGGTAACCAGTGTATGTTAATAACAGACCAGGCCAATTGCCTACACATGTGACATGAACATAAACAGTTCATATGGGCGGTTTATCTGACGGCCTCATTTCACTCGCAAAGAGATACATGTACACTGTCAAAAGTGAAAATGGATGTTTTTGATTTGCTCCACCAATCCTCAGACATCCAGCAATTCATCATGGCCCACTTCTCTTGCAGTGCCATGACCAATTCTTGCAGTGTTGTCTGTTGACGTTGACGAAAACGTCTTTTGATCAAATTGAACGTAACACACTAAAGATATGCTAAACAGTAAATCTTATGCAAGAACCGATAGGTAAGCAAACATGGATAGGATACACAAGCAAGTGGTAGTTTTCATCAACCCTTCCTTGAAGTGTCAAATTTGACAATGTACCCCTCCCTTGTGTATGGTGCTATTGCGTGTCGCACATACAGCTCAGTGGTTCTGTTGGGGCGACAAGTTCTTCATCTGTGAACATAATATCAAAGCATGTCAAGTGTCCATGATTATTTATCATATCACAACCTGCATAGGTATTTGCATTTCAATATCCCCTACTTTTTTTGAAAAGTATATAATATTATTGTTTAAAGTAGCTAAGTCTCTAACTCAATATCATCCAAAATCTTCAACATTGAAAACACAAATTATCTGTCAATTTAAATCAACATTGATGTTATGATCTTACCTGGAAAAGATGGGCTTCTCATATCCAACATTTAAGACAAAATAAACATTTTACCATTGGTACACGAATCGTGTACCATAAGGCGTTCAGTGTCATTTTTAACAAGGGACAAGAAAGAACGAGACTAGAGATTCCACAAGTCATGTCAAACACTGACGCAATATTCTTATCTGGAGAGCATACGCAATACAGTCATTATCTTTTGAGGCGTGCGATCGCTTGCGAGCGCCTGTCGCGCACCCGAATGTTGACCGAGGGAAGGTTTTTCTCCCTCGCCTTAAAATTGAAAATCGCTCTCCATATAATCATGGACATGTATTTGGGTTTTTTTTTTAAAAGAGCGTGAAAGACTCCCATTCCGATCGCCACCATGCTGTCATTGTGAACATTTATTTGGTGTAATTAGTATAATGTGATCGCACATGGTTCCTATGAACCATTGGTTAATTTAACTGAAATTAAAAGTAGAACTGT